CGCCCGTGATGTAGTAACTCCCATGGGAAATCATGGCGACCGACTTGGCAGGTATTCTAAAGCAAAAAGCAAAAGAAGCAATTGATGTTCATTCTTCTGACTTATATGATCTAAACAAAAGAATATGGGAAAAACCTGAACTGAATTTTAAGGAGACGTATGCTCACGAGCAACTGACGAAGTTTATGACGGAGCACGGTTTCAATGTAACTCCTCATTACACTTTGGATACGGCTTTCCGAGCTGAGTGCGGAGAGGATGGAGGTCTGACAATTGGCCTGCTTAGTGAATATGATGCTTTACCAGTTGTCGGACATGCTTGTGGACATAATCTGATTGCTGAATCAGGAGTAGCAGCAGCTTTGGGTAAGTTCTCCTTTATATGTACAGAGTGCACGGTATCATTGAATTGAAATGGGCAATTCGAAGACAATGGAGTTAAACTCTTTGAAAAATTAATGAGTGCGGGAATCTTCTCAAAGATCGTGTCATAATTACACCGTATATTTACGATTTATGCGGTATTTTGACGAGACCGACGAGATCGAAAAAAAAAAAAAATTTAGCAAAAAAAACAAAATAAGATATATTTATCAAACTATTAGTTAGCACTTTGCCAATTTGTTGTCATCAAGACACTTACCTTATTCAGTTATTCTTTGCAAAACAGTATAATCATATAGTAAAAATAGAGTTTGATAAAGCTATGAAATTTAAATGTTTGATATTTCAGTACTAAAAATTAAAGTTAGTCAGTACTATGCGATCTAATAAGATATTCATTTATATTTTTTAGCAGTTGGATTTATAATTGAAATTTGGTAAACTTTTTTATCATCAATCTTGTATTTAAACTCTGGAAATTATATAAAAGGTGAAAATAGTAAGTAAAGAACAATAAAGAAGCTTCATGCGTAATTCACCTTTTCTTATTATTTTAATATATGCTTATAGGTCTAAAGATTGCTTTGGAATCAGTTAATCAGAAACCAAAAGTTAAAGTAGTTCTTCTTGGAACTCCTGCGGAGGAAGGAGGAGGGGGAAAGATTTTAATGATCAACAATGGCTGCTTCAAAGATATTGACTTCTGTATGATGGTTCATCCTGCCCCTCATGATGTCCTAAGACCTATAGCTTTGGCGTTCACTGAAGTGACGGTCACATATAAAGGTCATGCTGCCCATGCTGCAGCATTCCCTTGGGAAGGGGTCAATGCATTGGATGCAGCTGTCATGGCTTATACAAGCATAAGTGCACTAAGGCAGCAGATGAAACCAACATGGCGTCTTCATGGCATTATCAGTGAGGGAGGTGTCAAACCCAACATCATTCCTGATCGTGCCCAGCTTCGTTATGCAATTAGAGCTGAGACTAATGAAGAACTTGAAGTATTGAAGGAAAAAGTGGTAAGCTGTTTCCAAGCAGCAGCTAAAGCAACTGGTTAGTAACTTTAATAGGAAAATAATTCATGTTTATAGACTCATTTTGTTTACTTCTGCTGCCCCTGTGGTTTTGCCTAAGTGGTGATTTTGTTATTTTTCTATTTTCAAGGGTGCGAGGTATCTGTGGAATGGGAACCAAGACCTTATTCCAGTTTAGACACAAACAACACACTTGTAGACCTCTATCAAGCTAATGTTGAGACCTTAGGAGTAACTTTCAATCCTTTTGAGGAATATGGCAAGGGCTCAACAGATATGGGCAATGTCTCCCAAGTAGTTCCATCATTTCATGTGATTTACAGTATTGCTACCAACGCTGTGAACCATTCCCATGAATTTACAGCAGCAGCAATTACAGAGATTGCCCATAATAAAACATTGATTGCAAGTAAGGGGATGGCCATGACTGCTATTGATGTTCTTTGCAATCCTGAGTTTTTGCAGAAAATAAAGAAGGACTTTAAAAAAACACACCCATCAATGTAACTAATGAATGTTAATTCTTAAGGAGAAATACAATTAAAGCTGCAGAGAGGAAAACAATAATTTGTGTACCTTTCCCAGAAATGAAATTGCCTGAAAAAATTGAGCTTTTGGAATTCTGTGGAGATGACCATGTTCATTTCCATCTGTTGTTTTAAGTGGATATCATGGCCGTTTGTCTGCCTGGGCCATTTTCTCATCATTTTGATCCCTTAGAAGGGAAAACCAGCATCTGATTTCTTCTTACAATGTTACCCTCAAATTACACAGCACTGTCATGAGAATAAAGGAAATGATCACCAACTAGAGAAGCTCTTGATTTGAAAACAAATTCTCCTCATCGACACCTTGGTAAATGTATAGAGAACAATAGGTAGAATATGCATACTGATGTTGAGGTGCAAAGGGTTAATACCCTGGTTAACTTCTAAACTTATCTTATATCTTCTGTATTCATGAATTCCGTAATAACACTTTAACTCCCAATATCTGACTGTTAATTCTCCCCTGTAGCTGCTACACATCTCCTTGTAAACTAGTTATGTGAATTTGATGTTACAGGTAGATCAACATAGCAATTTCTACTTGACAAGTTTGAGTGTTCTCATCATCTGTTTGCTAAATAATGTATAGTTGTTACAGGGAGAAGTTATATGTTAATCACTCTGGGAGTCAAAGGGTTTATTTAACAAAACAACCAAGATGTCGCCATGGACCTCCTGCCAATGCCAATGATGATGCATTAAGGATAAAGTTACCTTACTAGACATTGAAGTTTCTCAATATTTTTGGTGTTCATAAACACCAAGTGTGATGCTTCTTCTCATGCAGAAACACACTCCCACTCCTCTTTTATCCCTTTTCGAGCTTTTCATGCT